TGAGGTGTGCTTATATGTTTGTATTTGGCAAATATATGCAACACTTTTTATTTAAAAATGTTTTTTTTAAGCTGTTAAGTTTCAACAGAAGCCGCAATCAAGTTAAAGCCTTTAAGAAGTGGTTTTTAATAGTTAAATAAGGGGTGAGACTTAGTAGGGTGCAGAGTAAGATACAGGAGTTTTTTTCTTTAATAACTACAGTTACGCAGGGTCCTTTGAGTCAGATATCAACTTAATACCAAGACTTGGGAATGTCAGAGGGCAACACGTTTATGTGTTTAACAAGTGGGAATCATGCCATTTCCATGGTGTCCCCGTGAGACTGTACAGGCTCTAGTAAAAGTTTAGTTCAGTGACTTTGCTTGTGACATCTATTATAGAGTGACTTCTCTATTGATATGCTCTTTTTTTCTCTAGTTGAGACTAAGGTAGTAACATCTGAACCCATCAGTCTCTCAGGAAGGCATTTTGGGAGCCAACAGTTAAAAAACTAAGTCTAGCTAGCATATGAAAATTACAGTTCTATGTATTTTCCTTTATTCTCTTTGTGGCAGAGCCTGTTGTGGGTAGTGAGGGCACAGCGTCCTGGTCCTTGCCAAGAATGATATGCTAAGCTTCCTAAAGCTTCCCATTATATAGGTCTTTTCATCTTCAAAGAGCTTTGCGAGCATTCATTTACCACCACCTACCTGGGAAGTAAGAATTATTCCCATTTTATAGATGGAGGAAGTGGAGGTGTCAGTGACTTGCTTGAGGCCACCCAGGAAGTTGAGGGTCTGACAGAGACTTCAAAGGATTGCCCACTCCACTTCTGAACTGAAGGGACCTCAGCTCTTTCTCTCTTGTGTCATTTCCCCTTGAGAGCCTCAGGTCACTGATAATGTAAATCTAAAAGCATTAAATAAGAGACTCCCAGGCTTTCTGCTTTGTGGTTGCCTCTGCAATTAAACCCTGGGAAATCTAGATATGAGAAGCCATTTAATCCTCCTGAGGTCTATTTTCCACATCTGTGGAATGGGCATAGTGATACCCACCTACCTACTCCAGAGTTGTTGCGAGCACCAAAATCAAAACAAGCTAACGACAACAAAAACTTTTACAGAACTCGGCAAATGTCAGGCATTATTTTTGTTGCTAGAAATGACCAGGAGACTGCACTACCAAAGGGGCAAGGTTTTTCTATTTAGGGGGCTAATTGCTTCAGTGATGTTCAGTGAGGATCAGTACTGTCATGGAAGAAAAGACCAGACTAAGGAAACATACTAGTGTTATATTTAGTACATATTTAGTAGACAAAATGGCAGAACCAGCTGATTATTAGTTTGCATAGTATTCATCTGGTCTCCAGAGGACTGCCGAACATGCCTGGGACACGGAACATATTCATGTGTACTCCAAGCCACAGGTCCAGGATGACAGAATGTGCCAAACTGTCCGAAGCCCACAGTCTGTTCCTCTTCCACCATGGAGATGTAATGAGAGCTCTCTACAGACCCTTTTGGTGGCCTGGGGCCTCCAGCAGTAGCAGTGAGAGTCCCAGAAAAGTCCTTTGCTCCCCAAACCGTCCACAGCTAGCATGCACAGGGCATCACCTCTGGAAGGATGATTTGGAAAAAAGGCACCTATCTGGGCAGATAAATTAGGAAAACGTGCCCTTACTCCAGGCTGTTACAGCCACGCTGCGGCAGGGCTGACAGCCAAGTGAATTTCAGCCCCTACCTTTGCCCCTTCAGCTAGGCTCCATTGGGCAGGCCACAGTGTCCTTAGAACGAGGAGGTGGCTAGACCCAGAGGGGCCAGAAAACTCTAGAAGCTGGGAGTTTCCAAGGTCCCTCCAGGGAACCAGGTGAAGACTCGCCACTCTTCACTAGCCGGCCTTGACATGCAGGCCAGGCTGCCATCCAGGCAGTTGCAGAAGCCTTTAATACCCCAGCAGTTTTAAACTGGGGATAAAATAGAGTGACTAATCCATAAAGGACTCAAGCCATTTTACTGAAAATAAAATCAAATGCTTTAGGGTTTTTCTTTTTAATCTTTATTGGTTTTTCTGCTTACAAAAGTAATACATGCTAGTTGTAAAAAAAAAAAAAAAAAAATTTTAAACGTTAGAGAAATATGTAACATGGCAAGTAAAAAGTCCTTTATTTTTTCAGCCCGCCAAAAAAAATTAAAAAAAAAAACCAAAACACTGTCAACTGATATAAAAGAGAGTTTTTGTTGTTGTTGTTGTTTTTAATCAGTGGTTCTTGACCATTTTTGCGAGACTTGACATTCTTATGTGTGACATACTCTCATGGGTGTATCCAAGGTTGGGCCATGTCCTGGCATGCCAGCAGAAACCCCACCCTGTTCCGTCCAAATTAAGAAACTATGCAGTGGTGCAAGTGAGCTAGAGTGAAAGATAGTTTTGGGGTGACCTTGGGTTCCTATCCACTTATTTTTATATGAACCCATAAAAAAACTTACAGGTTTTTTTTTTGCTATTTTTAGTAACAAATGCCATATGACACATCCCCATAGCTGATTGCAACGCAGCATTGTGTGCAGCAAACAGTTAAGTGCCAATGTTGTAAAGGATTGCTGTGGTGGCTGGTATGAACTGCCTGTCATATTATTTGGAGGATAAGCAGCTTTTCTCTATCCCCACTTTGGAAGGAGCTTAAAGTCTGCAGAAAAGAATTTCATTTCGCTATAAGGCAGGATTTCTTATCAACAATAACAATAATAATAATGACTATTTATTGAATGCCAACTATTTCTCAGAACTGTGTGATGTGCATATGTATATATAGAATATATATAAAAGTTAATCATATATACGCTGTCATTTATACATCCTTATCATTGAATCTTCACATATGAAGCCGACGCTCAGACAGGTTAATTAATTTGCTCAACCTTAAGTATTGTTAAACCTTGGTCACCTGAAGGTCAAAAACTACTTGGAATTTTATAAAATTGAGAAGAATGGCCTAGAAGGTTCAATGATTACTTCCAGTTATAAACTAGTCAAGTAACTTCCAGAAAGACATCTTGATATCTGTTCTGAGTAAAATGATTACTTCCAGTTATAAACTAGTCAAGTAACTTCCAGAAAGACATCTTGATATCTGTTCTAAGTTTAACCAAATTATTTATGAAATATCTTTTGATTCTTGGTTAGTGGTCTTATATACCAAGAGCAGTAAGCTCTCAATGTTCGTTATTGGAATAATTGAATCTTGGCAGTGCAGAATGGAGGGGGATCCCTCAGTTTTTAGTCAGACAAAAAGACAAAATGTGCCCAAATTGCAACCTTACTGCTTTCTACCTCTCTTCGAGCAAGTTATTTAGCCTCTCTGAACCTGTTTACTCATCTAAAAAATGCAGATGATGATGATGATGATGATTACACCTACCTCATAGGGTTGTTGGAGAAGTAAATGTGATATTGCCTGACAGATTATAAACACAAATACATGTTAGATATTTTTGATTATTATAAATCCATTATGTTATCATCAAGAGATCACTTCACCCAGAGCGAATGAAGTGGTGGCTACAACTCATGTACAGTTGTATTTTTTTAATTATTTGGAGAATGGACAGTTTTCTCTGTACCAACATATCTCTCAAAATAGGTCTTGTTGTATAAATGAGGTGTTAAGAATGCCAGTGCCCATGTTCTTCTTCCTTTTTTTAATTAAAAATATAAAGCAGACTTTTTTTAGAAGTACATACAATGCTCCATGACAGCCCAGCCCAAGGACCACTTGGCTAATTAGCACACTTGCATTCCAGGATTTCCTGACTCCCCGCTGCCACTTGTTGTTAGCTACTTGAAACTGCAGAAATTTGCCTCTGCAGGTGTGGAGAGCCTGCTTGAATTACTTAGGGTGCATGAGAGAACAAATTATTTAGGCAATAGAGCTGAAAATGTGGGCAAATTAGAATTTTTCATAGCAAGATTGTTCATTGTTAAGCCAATTCATGATTATATGTGTGCATCTTGCCTCAGATATTCGTCTACACAATAAACCTTTTTGCTGCTATGAATATGTATTTGGACTAATTTAATCAATATACTTGTGACAGTAGTGGTGTCTGACAGAACTCATCCTTTGAAAAACTGGCTGAGTTAATCCGTGCAGTATATCTGTGGGCCAAGACTCAATTCGTGTTAAAAGAAGATCATTTTGAAAAGACACAACACTGCCTATTGAAAAATGGAAAAGACTGAGAGGTAGAAAGCAAAGGGCAAGCGGATTTGTGTGCTTTGCTCTCTTATTGGACTGAAAACTCAAATTTATGGAACTAAACTGCTTGCCTTTTGAAAAATTTGCAAGTCAGTGACTACCTTTTTTTTTTTTATCACTGATACATTTGAATTCTGTAAATTGACTATAAGGTGGAGGGCGAGTGGCTCTTGTTCACTGTTGGGTTAAATGGAAGGCTGAGTAAGTACCCTGCTGGAATCTGCAAATGTTTGCTTTCTGGAAATATCAACACATGCGGTCAGATCACATTCAGAGAGTTTGCTTTTTGGAGCAGGTAGATTTTAGTCATTTCCTAAAGAGTGCTTGCAATTGAAATTGTCTTGTGAAGTGAGAGCGCCTCCCCCAGGGGGTAAACTAGTAGAATAGTTTCATCTAACCAGTCAAGGTACCTGAACCTTGCTATGGAGGACCCTCCCATCACCTTACCACGAGCTTCCTAGAGAAGCTTGTCCTAATTCTGATTGTTTGGCCAACACTGCCCACTGGAACTAAGCCCAGACATGGTGGTGGGCAAAGGGCTAGGCACATGGTCCCCTGCTTGAAAATACAGATCATCTACATTGCATCCATTCATACCAAGCATCCTGGCCTCCGTAAATCTTATGAAATATGTCTCAGCTTGAGTGTCCACCAGATCCAAAAAACCCTGGGAGCTGAAACAAGGCTGAAGACCAAGAGTTTGAGAGCCTGACTCAGGCCAGCTGTCCTATGCAGCAGTGGCAGCAAACTCTGGGTTTTTGTTACAATGACCCTCCTACCCCCACCTCCACCATCTGCTCAGCCAGGAGCCATTCCAAAGGTGAAAGTACTGGGCTGGGCGGCACTCCCAGGAAACTACCATCATGAGCAGACCCCTCCAGGCCAGACCTCCATATCACTTGCCGGATTACAGCAGCCATTAGCTGGCTTAAATGTCGTCATTTCACTTCTGACGGGTAAGCCACTAAGAGTCCAGGCAGACTGAGCGGCAAAATATCATTTTCCATTTGATCCAGATACAGTTTTACTCAGCGTTCCCAGTGTGGCCTGCCCAGGACCTTCATGTCTTATAAAGAAGCAGTCTCCAACCTTTTTGGCACCAGGGATCAAGAATCTAATGCCTGATGATCTGAGGTGGAGCTGAGGCGGTGATGCTAGCGCTGGGGAGCAGCTGCAAATACAGATGAAGCTTTGCTTGCCACTCACCTCCTGCTGTGAGGCCCTGTTCCTAACAGGCCAAAGACCCATTCCAGTCTGCGGCCTGGGGATTGGGGACCCCTGTTATAAAGAACTAAATAGACGTGTTTTATCTCCCCATCGTTAAAGTGTAATGAAGATAACTCTTGAAAGTTCCAAATTTAGCACTAGTGTTGCTTTAATTGCCTCAGATAGTTTTGATGCTGACTTGTACTGCAGGCCTAGCAAGATTTGTCTATGTCTAATTTCTGTGATCACCGCTTGAGGTGAAACATAGGCCGAAGAAGCTCAGTGTCAGTCTTCTTTATTTCACATATAAATTTTGTTTAATAGATGATCCAAGTACTTTGTGTTGCCTAATTATTCTATTCCGTAGGGGTCAGAGTGGGGGAAGCAGGTTCTCATTATAGACTGGTTAATTCACTTGGGAAAATCCAGGCAATAACTCTCAGCAGATATCACCTCTCAACATTTCTCTACTAGCACTTGGCTTTTTTGAGTCTCTGTAAAATGTTGGATATAACTCTCTCTCTAAAACTGCAGACAACATATAGCACAAAACTTTGCCTTGACTATATTAAGAATGTTAGAGGGGCCAAGAGGTGTGAAACATTATTAGAGTTCAGATTTCATAAAGAATTTTCCTTGAAGAAGTCAAGCTAGGTGCTAAGAGAAGGAAGCAGACTTGGAGATGATGATTTTTGTTAAATGCAGCCTTATAACATATTAAGTTGCATAACTCAGAAGTAGACCTATTAGTGTATTAAGACTCCATTATTGGGATATTATAAAGCTTCAGAATTATGGAAAATATGTTGGATGTGAGATTTCACGCCATCTCTAAATCTGAACAATGAAACTCAGTATATCAACACTAAGAGTGACCGATGGGGGAGGACACTGGTAGAATAGCTTGCGCTCCGAGTTATCACAGTACTTGCACTGGTCCCTTTGAAAGGAAGTTAGCAAGTATACATGGTTTATAATGAGGTTAAATCCAGTAATTTTATGTGTGCTCTAATTCTTGACTACTTCACACCAAATTCAAAATAAATGTTGTGGAAATGATCCCAGGATATGGGATTCCATTGGAAGAAAGAGCGTGCTGTTTGTAAATGTGTGTTACTTGCATTGTGTAACTTGCATTCTTAGACAAGTCATTGCTTTGTGTAAGGCCTGGGCCAGGGAAGGGCTATATGAAAATGAAATACACTTGGGCACTTACAATGGTGTTTGCATGTGTGATTTAGTAGATAATCTGACATGATATCTAGTATTGAAAACCATGGAAAATAAACATAGCATAATGGAATCCTCCAGGTAAACTGTGTGTACACCTCAGCATCGGTCGTCTTTATTTCACATAAATTATATTTAATAGGTAATCCAAGTACTTTGTTTTGCCTAATTATTTTATTCTTAGGTTACTTTTTTAAATCCTTAATTTTGCTATTCCCACCTCTGTTTAAGATAGAATATTTGTTTAGACATGCGCTTTTTCATATTTGAGAACTTTGATGTAATATATATATTAATTATTTGGTTAGATTTACAACATGAGGCATCTTTAAGTAATCAGTTAGATAGAAACACATGCACGCTGTACCAGGAAGTCAATTTTCAATGTAAAGAACTCAGAATCTAAATCTACATATTCTATTTGTCAGGATTCAGATAGGATATTAACTTTATGGTTGAAAGGTTTTGATCGTACACAAATGGACTCATTTTTAACACATAGCAACTATGTTAATTAAAAAAGGATGAGTAAGGAATTCTTAACTTACCATCACATGTAACTTATTATTATTTTGAATTGATTCATTTTCCTAAGTAGTCTTGACTTTTTAGAGTATTTTTTCTCTACCAGTCAAGCTACCGCCAAGACAGATTTATGACCTTTTAAAAATAATGATGGAAAATGAGATCGGAGGAAACATTTTAGTATCTGCTTTGCTCTGAGGCCTAAACTGCGAACTCTCCAGTTCTTGAAGGCTTTGAAATGCTGATTCCAGCCTTCTTGTGGGTTCTTAAACACCTTCTCAAATGACCCATTTTAATAACCCGAAAGCTATTATATAACGAGCAGCCATAATTTAGTCCAGGGCTCTAGGGGGACCCTCACAGTTCAGCAATGAATAGTTAATGCAGTATAATGTTTAGCAGGTTATTAGTTTTCACTATACAAATGCTGATCAGGGAACGCTTTTATAAGGTGTTTAAAAGAAAATGTAATTAACTGGTTGCGTGCTTCTGTTGCAGCTCAAATTGAAATTATTCCATGCAAGATCTGTGGAGACAAATCATCAGGAATCCATTATGGTGTCATTACATGTGAAGGCTGCAAGGTAAGCCTTTTTAATTGTTGTTTCTATTAATGTTAAAATGTATCTTGCGATTCTTAGTTTTTACTTCTACTATGTCTAAAAATTCAACGTCTTCGAATTTCAAGTGATGAAAAATGACAGAACAGAGTGAGTGTTTTGGTGTTAAGTTACAATTAAAGAAGTTATACATATTTTTTACGCCTTCCATCAAAATAACAGGATGCTAGAGAAAGGTGTTTAAGCATTGTTTGTCATTTCCAATCCCAGAATTGATTGAACTGATGAATAATCTCCTTGATTATCTTTTTAAAAAAGAGATGAATCTAGACTTCTTAACGTCCCCGTTACAAGCTTTATAAGAAGATACTGCCAATAAGTTTAATCAGAATGTGATTGGAAGTCTTATTGTTGGCACACAGATGTTGTCACAGGTGGCCAAATTGTGGCAAGGCTGTTGGAAAGAACTGAGTTCTGGTCCTGGTGCCATCACTTGTCCATGTTGTTTTGGGTATGTTTCCTCATTTATAAGGTGGGCAGAACACCTGTTCTTCCTATCTTTTAGAATTATTCTAAGAATAAAATTTAAAAATGTAAGTAAACTGAAAAATGCTACTTAAATCTAAACATTATCATTCTTATTGCTCTTGTTACTATTTTAATTATGACTGATGATGATCTCAGGGCAATAGGTAGAGCACATGCATAATATGGCAATGGGAAATAGAGATATTTATCCTAATCATTCAAGACTCCAAAACCCAGATTGCTTCTGTTATTTAAATTTCAATTTATTGAGATTTAAATCCTCCTGCTTATATTGGAAAGGCCTTGAGACAGCTTACAGGATAAAACAGTGCAAAATAAACAGGAGAGCAGCTATTTAAACATGCTGAACGCCTTTGAGACAGTTGATTGCCACTGAACCAGGCCTGAATTAGCCCTAAGGCATTTTGAAGCAAAGGCAATAAATAAAATCCACAAATTTGGTTAGCTCCTTGTTAGTGAAATTAGAAAATACAGTGTCATAAAATACAAAATCACCACCAGACACAAATACTGAGAGATTGCAGGGACATTTGCCTCATAATTTCCTTAAGTCTTTGTTTGACTGTTAATCATTGTAACATTTGCCACCTTGTATGTATACAAATGCTTCATATTGAGCCCATCTTGGTGAAGCTTGAGATTTCTGCACACTGCCAAACGCATTTAATAATTTAAAAAGAAAAAAATCACCTGCCTTTTAGGAATAGGGAGCTTGCTCCTTAAATGGGATTTTGAATTATTCATCTCTGTGGTAATCCTCAAGGCCTCAGGGTTCTAGATTACCAAGACAAAAAAAAAAAAAATTATGCCCTTTGCCCTTTTACTTCCTCGATCTTCCCTCCCTCAAAAATTAACTTATTTAATTAATTAATTAAAATAAAACAAAATGAAGTGGACTGCCTAGCTATGCCATCTCAGGATGTAAGGAAGAGAGGGATCTGCCTGTGACAGCTGTCACCATTGATTTTCAGAATTAATTTGGCCGATTTGGCTGGACAGGTGTAGTAGCACTTCATCACCCTCACCAACTCTTGTGTTCACACCTTTCCAAAGCTGTTTTCAGCTTTCTTGATGGACGGTATGTAGTCGGCAATGCTTGCCCACCAGAAATTCCAAGCACAAGTGATTTTTGTGCACTGGGTATCATCACCTACACACTATCTTAAGTGGACACGGTGCTAGAAATTAACTGTTATATGTACCTTCATTCTGCCCAAGAAACTGATCACCGTCTCTGAGTCTTTCAGTAATGCCACATGTGGTTTTATGTGGCAACTACAGTGAGTATCTAGGAATGGAGTCTGGGGCAGGGCTATGGTGTGGATGGGGGCTACTTCCTATGAATCATCCCAACAATTCAGAAGATTAATTAACGTGCTATCCAATAAAACCTGAATCAACTGTCTGAGTACCACTGTGTTTACATAGGCATAAGCAATGTATGTTTTCTTTATACCCCCAATGTTTATGATAGAAATAAAAACAATAAATAAAAGGCCATCTATTATTTCACAGTTGTCACTTTTCTAGATTCCTTTTCAGAACTTGTCCATATACAGACTCAATGCCAGTGTCGTTTCCAGTTATCTGTGTTTCTCTGTTCAAAGTCATTAAAACAAACAATTAAAACTTAATTTTATTAACATATTGGGCCTATGCCCAGCCTGGGACCTTTACAGTGGTATGTGTTTATGTTGGATACATATAGTATTTGTTCCGCACAGTAGTTTCTCTCTGGTATCACTAACATTTTTATTTCTAGTTGTGGTAAAGTCAAGAGCCTTCTGCTTTAGCCATTGATGTTAATGATTTATCATGTTCTAACCAGGTGAAGCTGGTTACATACATCATGACAAATTATAAATAGTTTATCTCTGTGATAGTATCATTAGATATCAGGAAAATTTATAATTAGGTATATAAATAGATATCTAATGAGAGGAAAGAAAGTGACTCAGTCATTTTCTGAGCTAATCATTTTGTGAATGTCTTTTAAATTGCATTTCAAAGTGACGTCCTGGACCCACAAGAAACTAAAGAACCTAATAAATTGCTGAAATGATTATCTATTTTATCACGTATTGGTTCAAGTAAGCATTGCCCATGAACAGCGAAAATGATAGCTGTTTTGGTAGCTCTTTCTCTGGTCCTAAGTATTCCCAGCTCACCCACACCTGGTTCCCTAGGCTACCTGCAGAGACAGATTGGGTCATGCTTGTGCCCTGACTCTGGGACCAGACTGCCTAAGTTTGAATCCCGGCTCTGCTATTTACCAGCTTGAGCAACTGCCCAACCTTTCTGTGCCTCCATTTCTCCATCTGTAGAATGAGGATAATAATTTTAGTTAACTTTGTAGGGTTGACACGTGCATTTAGGTAAACCACTTAGAAGAGTGCCAGGCACGTACAAGCACGCAGTACGTGTTGGCTATTGTTATTGTCATTCCTGGCCAAACTCTTTATGCCCGAGTAATGCCACTCTGTATAGTCAGATATTATTTCAGGATATCTATGAGTCCAGTCTTGATTTTTGTGACCATTTATAATTTGTTCTATAGACTCTGCCAATAAAAACAACAAAAATATGAGCACCCCCTTGGGACCAGGCACTTTTACAAACACTGTGAGGGATCCAAAAACATAGAAGGCCTCATCCTTCTATCAGGCAGTTTACAGTCTAATTGTGGAGATGAGATCTACACAGGAAAAGCTACATAGCAATGCAAGAACTAAATACTGGAGTAAGGCCACAGTGTAATATGACACAAGAAGCACATACCCACAAGGCAGCAAGAGCCTAGAAAGGGAGATGGCTTGGTTGTGTTTTGAAGACAATCTATAACCCAGCTTGACTGGAGCAAAGAGTCACTTATTGTAGATAGTGAAAGATAAGGATACGCAGGTACACCATTCCCAAAATTTTAAGGGCTCCATTATGCCACGGTTTTTATTTTAAAAGTAGTTTACTTGTTCTAAAAGTAGTTTACTTGTTCTAAAAGTAGTTTACTTTTGAAATAACGAGGAACAGTGTACTACCCCTGCTCAAACCTTGAATATTGCATTTCAGAAGAACATAGAATCCAAGCCCCAAGTTTACTTCTGTAAGGTGTTCGTAAGCTCTTGGAACAGAATTTAGTCCCAGTCCTGGGTGGACACCAGGAGTGGGTATAAGGTAAGCTGGGGTAGACCTGCCAGGGAAGCAGGGCCAGGCCACAGAACATGCAGTCAGAAGGAAAGGCCAGAAGTAAAATGAGACACCGTAGATGTTAGGGTTAAGGTTCGATCTTCAAAGTAAATAAAAATGCTGAAGTGTTTATAGAAAAATGACTACTAGTTTTCTTTTGAAAATATGATTCTATTTATCATTTAACATCAGTTCTTAGCTTCATCATTAGATACAGTGGCCATTCAGATGATGATGATAAAAGATTTATCTGGAGATAAAAAACACACATACACAGTTTTTTATCATCTGTATGTTTTTAGACTTTTTGGCTCTACAGTTTCAACCATAACTTTTTAAATGCTAATGTACAATTGAGTATTAGTGAATCGATTTGCTTACATTTAAGACCCTTTGCTTTTGATAGGTCTTAGAGTAGCATTCATTTATCAAATCTTTACTTATCATAATACATTTAAGTTTTCTCTTTCACCGAGTAAATTAAGAATTTGGAATAGTGTCTTTGCACTGACAAATATATTACCTGAAATTCACAATAGAAAGCCTTTTTAAAAATATCTAGAATGTATAATTGGTACTTTTTTTTCCTGAAAGAGCTAAAGCAATTTCTGGAGCTTTTTGTATTTTAAGTTAAAAACAAATGTTTATAAATGTTCCTTTTAGACCCCAATTGTTTTTTAGAAAATTCAAATATTTTTATTTCAGTTGGGAAATGTCACTAGCCCTGGACCAATTTTGTCCGCTTTCCAGCATTGATACATTCATGTTCAACATTTTTATTTTAATGTTTTAAAATAGCTGTCCCTGGTATTAGAGTTAGCCATTTAAAATGAAAATGGGACTTGGCTGTTATTGCATACTGTGACATCAGAGTTGCAGTTCTGTTACATACAGGTGATAAGAAAAAAATATTAGTTTAGCTAAATCCTCCAGTCCTGTGATGAAATGCACAAGTGGTAGGATGTGTTAAACTCCAGTTTACATCAAGATGATTAAGGTTTTTTTTGTTTGGGTTTTTTGTTTTGTTTTGTTTTGTTTTGTTTGCTTTGTTTAGGCCTTAATCATGTCTCAGTAACTACGGCCCTTCCTCAACTCACAGAAAACACTGGGCTTGGGACCTTGTAGATAGGGCTCTGTCAATAGTGTGTGGCTCAGGGTAGGGCCCTTCATGCTTGCTTAGGAATCACTGTTGCTGAATGTGTTCACTTGGATTGGATCTGAGTATAGCAAATCACAGTATGGCAAAGCAGACATCTACCCTTACCAAATTTGACACACGAGGTCAGCTTTAA